GGAAGGGACTTGAACGAACAGTGGCCAGACGAATTGCGTGGACAGCCATGACCTACAAGATCCTTAGTCCCTAGCATAGAGGCGCCCTACTAAAGCGCTCTGCAGCAGACCTCACCGCGGCGTTCACCCACGACACTGAAGCCGCATGGGTACTTAGAAAGCATGTCACTATGGTCACCCTAGATATACAAGGCGCTTTTGATGCCCTCCTTAAGAACTGCCTGCTACACTAGATGGCCTAACAGGGCTAGCTACAAAGGACTATCCTCTTTGTAGACTTATTCCTTACTAACTAGAGGGTTCAAGTCCGCCTTAGCCAGGTCACTACCCCTAGCTACCCTGTCGCCTGTGGCACACCCTAAGGCTTGCCTCTCTCTCCTGTCCTGTACACACTGTATCTAGCTAAGCTACTGTCTATAGATACAGAATGGAGATTTAGATATGCAGACGACATATGTCTATACTAAGCCTTACATTCTATAGACAACAACGTTAAGCTCCTAGCATCAGACCTAAGGCAGATTAGAGCATGGGGAGAGGCTAACAAGGTTACCTTTGCTCCAGAAAAGCAAGAAATGATACACCTAACTAGGCAACGAAGCAGCTACGCACCACCCTGTGTTGTAGATGAGCAGCTTACAATCCACCCTATCCTCCTGGGTGGAGAGCACAGCCAGCCAGCCCTGCGCTGGCTAGGAGTGTGGTTTGACCGCAGACTTACCTTTAGACGTCATGTAGCCACACGCACTGCAAAGGCTACCAAGGTAGCCCATCATATTCGCAGCCTTGCCAGGACTACCTATGGACCACTAGCCAGCTCCCTCCGCAAGGCCACTATTGCCTGTCTGTACCTGGGGCTTCTGTATGGGACTAAGTGCTGGTACAGAGGCCGCACTAAACCACCACATTCACTTAAACTAGGCGGGCCACAAGAGGTTAGCGCCTACATTGGATGGCACATAGCTGCCATAGACAAGACCCTGGCCATAGCAGCGCGGGGCATTCTACCAGCGTGGAGGACAACCCCTATAGCTGCACTCTTCCGAGATGCCGGATTGCTACCAGCAGCAGTAGCACTAGAGCAAGCTAAACTCAGATTTGCAGCCCGTCTACGCACCACAGATGCAGAACACCCCCTTACTAGGCGCACACCAGTACCTATTGTAAACAGGGGCGTAAAAACAGGACAACCCCAGCGAGTTAAGACTAAAGTCCAACAGATAGCATCTCTTCTACTAGAGATTCCTAGGACTACACTTATAGCCCCTTACTACTTAACTAGCTACTAAACAGACCTAACGCTTAGCATAGACAAGAAGACTGTAGCTAAGGCTTTCAGCTAATAGTAGGCCTAGCTCTTACTACTAGACGTTACTATCTTCTTAGATGGCTTAGAATAGTACACTAAGGAAGGAGGAAAGCAGGTCACCTACAGCTTTGTAGTGTATTAAGATAGAAAACAACTCTAGACTAGACGCAGATTACTCCACCCTACCTCCCACGTCTTTGACGCTGAGGCAATAGGAGCGTGGAGAGGCCTCTAGCAAACTATAAGACAACCAGCGCTCCGCACCCGCCGAATCTGGCTGTGCATAGACAGCACCTCAGTGATATGGTGCCTCAGGGGCGACGCACCCCCTACCTCTCAATGGGCCTTTCTGGAGTGCCATGGTGCCATGGAGACCCACGACGTCTCTATTAAATGGGCCCCTGGACACCTGGGCATTGAAGGGAACGAGGCAGCAGATAGGCTAGCCAACCTACTAGAAGCCCAGCAGCCATCACCTGCAACTGGAAAAGCTGCCATGCCTACACTCTTAGGCATCAAGTCAGTCGCCCGCAAGATACTACGGCACACACAACAGACTTGGTGGTCTAACAAGAAGACTAAGCTCTCTGTGTGGTACAAGAGCTAGGACCTAGACTATGCGCCACGCAGCAGTCTAAAGGAGCTAGACCTAC